CTTGATGCTCATAACTTGATTAATTCAATTATAAAATTGAAAAACTATTGTGTAAATGGGCTGTGATCGTCAGATATATTGTTAACTTGGATGTTTGGTAGTCAAGCTTCCGAAAGCTTATTCAGACGATTACGTTCAATGAGTAGTACATACTCAACAATAGTCAATTGTTCACTACTTGAAACTATTCATAGATTATCAAGAATTCAATTGCAGGAAGAAATTTTATCTGGAAGTTTAAATAAAAATAGTGATAAATTTAGTTCTCCGCGTTTGAGTGTATCAAAATTACATGTGTCTCAAGAATTTGAGCTTCCGGATATGAGTAATATAATTGAAAGGATCTAGAAAGCTAAAAACGATGCTGTTAATGCTCTTGAACAATTAGGTATGCAAATTGAATTATCTGAGTGTTTAAAAATTTCTATCAAATCATTAGAAAGTGAAGAATTTCCTGGAAATGAATTCGATGAATTAGAATTAAATTCTAATGATCAAAATGCGACAGATCAAGGCGAGGTGAACTCACTAGGGGAAATTTCAGAAGTCATACAAGACTTAAGTGTACTTTCAAGTATCCAAGGAGACTTAGAATTAAAAAGTTATGATAAAGATACGACTGATCTTTCTTCGGATAGCCCTTTCACTCTCGTCGCGAATCAATCAGGAAAAACAGTAGTAGTGCGTAAGTCTTCTCTCTGCTGGCTTTTCTCTAAAGGTCACTCGCAATTAAGTGCAGATAGAATACAAAGAGTTCGAGACGCAGAATTAGTTAAGTATAAAGAAAAACGGAAGAATTGTAATTCCAAACAGGAAGTCATCGCTTTCATTCGAACGAGTGAAGAAATATATCTAGGAGACTGGTGTTTATTTAAAGAAGTGAATTATAAGACTTGTTTATTGGGCTTAGTTTTAAGTTTTGTATACTTGTAAGGAAAATCCTTGAAAGCCCAAGAGTATTCCAGTCCATTTGCTCGCTTGAAAAATAATACCAAAGAAATTGGTGTCCTTTACAATTGGTATATTTTGGATAAAGAAAGACAATGTTTAAAAATTCAACCAATGGATATTCATGTATATATAAATATTAATCAATATCGACGAACTATTTCTCTACCGATTTGTTTCCAGGATGGTCTGAAAATCGAGGAAGAAATTTATGCAGATCTTGAAAAATTCTTTTTCTGTACTGCTTCTCACGATTTCTCGTCTGGGAATTGGTATTACATACTTCCCAAACTCGAAAACTTGAAAATCACTACAGAAAAATATTGTTCCTGGGTTGTTGCGATGGGGTTTTTTTACTCGTGTGGTTGGCCACTCCTCGCCTACACGGAGGAGTACAATACATCATAATTTTGTGAGAATCCTTCCAAAAATTAGTGTGCTGTTCACCAACGCTTGGACATAACAGGGAGTCATCGGAGAATTCGCATGTGGCACACTAATTTTTACGGGAATCCCCCGAAAAAGTGGCCGGAGTCCCACCAAAAATTAGGGTGCCACTTATGAATTTTTCGACGACCCCATGTTATGTCCCGGCGTTGGGGGACAGCACACTAATTTTTGGGAGATTTTTTTCTCAGTGTACGGCTCGGAGACCAACGCCATACGAGTAAAAAACCCCATCGCAAGAGGCCGGAAAAATACTATTAAGTCCATGTTTTTTTCCCATTGAACAAAGTTCTATTTGATGTTAAAAGAAAAGTTAATAATTTTGCGAAATTTAATTGTAATCATTTAAAAACCCTGAAATCCCTGAAATTGTTGAAATCCCTGAAATCCCTGAAATCGTTGAAATCGTCTGAAATCACTTGAAATCGTGAAATCATGAAACCCTTCCAAATGCAATCAATGATTTCAATGATTTCATTATCTCACTGAAATCGCTTTATGAAATCGGTGAAATCGCGTGAAATCTGAAATCGTGGTGTCACTGAATTTCAGAGTGAATAGCCCCTCGCTTTGGCTCAATATCGCAGAATTTCGTTCAATTTCTACTAGGGGAATATTTGAGATTTGTAATAAATTGAGTTATATCGACACATAACGTAAGGTCACCGATAGAAAGGATTAGTTATTGTTAATGAATGAATGTGGTTAGAGAGGAGGGTCTATTCGGTCTCACCAAATGTTTATTCGTTAATATTTAACAAATGAGTATTTGAGGAGGCTTGTTTGACTCGATTTTCACTTTTCAAGTGAACCATTCGTTAACTATTANCGAGACCCTTTGGCCAGGTCGACCCCAAATCGTTGCCCCAGAACCTGCACTACTTAACTACTGACGGAATTAAACTTTTTTGTTCTTATTTATTTATGGTGGGCGGCCGACTAATGTATGAAACATTACACGCGAAACTTCCAATTCCCTCATTAAGCACCATTAGTCGTGTGATAAATGATAACACCTGTGACATGACTGAGGGGATTTGCAGAGTTAAAACCTTNACTCGATTTTCACTTTTCAAGTGAACCATTCGTTAACTATTACCGAATATACATTTGGTCATATTCAAATCTACCATTCGTCAATAGTTAACGAATCTCGTTTGGAATAAATGAATCAGTCTATCAGTGTAATTAAGGAGTAATGGAACCGACCACAAAAAGACGTTTACCAAAAACAAGTTTTCTTGGATTCTATGCAATGAAAATCAATGAAACTTTTTCCCCGTATTGAGAGTAGCGGAACGCATCGCTCTCTTCTCATGCTTTTCTTACTTATGCAAAAAAAATTGAAAATTATTTAACGACAAGGCCCAAGGTAAGGCCGACGTCGTTTTATTTGTAGGAATCTGCCAAGTCATGGTAGAAAAACCGATTTTTTAAAGATTTTTCTTAGCCGATGGCTATTTTCATGAGAAGAGAGTGATCGAGCGAGGTCCAAGACAAAGATTTTGAGTACAAAAACGTAGGGTAATTGGGAGTGAGATGGGCACTTGGGGGGGATGGGTACCGCCGATTATTCGATAGTGGTGCGCGTGAAAAATTTGCCGTTTGGTATCATTTTTTATGCCCTCAATGCCCCACTATTACACGTTATTTAAACCCGTTCTGCCCCGTTTAAGTCAGTCAAACCGTGATAGATTCATTTTGATACTAAAATAACAAAAGTCGGTATTTCCGTTATAACCGCAGGAAATAGAGAATAATTATTTCTTTTCCAATTTAGGCCCATAATATCCCAAAATTGAACCCTTGATGAATATTGGCCACCGCCAATTCCACGATTTAATTATTTTTATTTGACTATATCTGCGTGCCCATGTCCCCCTCAAAAAAGGGAGAGATGGGCACTTACATTTTCATTCATTTAGGGACAGATGGTCACCTAGTTTTTCTTTTTCGATAGCTCCTCCGAATGAAAAACCTTGCAATATGTATTCAGCAGGGTAGGACGGGACAAAGTAGCACGCGGGGCAAAGCGGAACTCGGGAGACAATGAAATGCGGAGCAAAGTGGAACGCGGGGCGAAATGGAACGGTACTGAATTTCGGATTTCAGTGACTACAGGATGTTTTTTATGTCCTTAAGAATCGAACGATCCTTGAGGACGTTCGAAATTGAGGGTCAAATAGTGTTACGAATCAAACGACTCTGACGAACGTTGGAGACAAGGGTCAAATGGTCATCAGGATTAAAAATAAAAAGAAAAAAAAATCGATAATGTTTGCTTTTTTTTTAAATTGTTGTTCATCATGATTTTTAATTTTACCTTGCGTCCCAAATTGTTCTACTGTCCACTTTGCCCTACCCTCCCCTAGTTGAAAAAAAAAGAAAAAAAATGAATGGCGAAAAGATCACAATGAAAATCCATTTTATTATTTTTTCCAATCCATAGATCATTTTTCAATTATCATTTCCATTTTTTAATGTGAAAACTGAATCAGAAATAACTGAATAGGGGTCACATTAAAAAAAAAAGAATAGGAGCCACATTTTTTTCTATTAATTACTTCAAGAAGTTTGAATGTAATAACATGAGTAAATTTTCAATGTACTATTTCGTGTTTATTGTCGCACTCTCGAAATTTATGAATTCGAAACTCCCGCCACCCATGTTCTCAAACGCACATGAAAATCGATCCTTTCACCAATAAATGTAGGTCCTACATTGTAGGAAAATCCCTAGCAGCCCTCTAGGGTTTTCAGCTTCAACTGGTCACGTAACCGGCGAAACCTGTCATAGCGGATCTCATTGTTTACTTTGTCAGTTCAAGTGGTGTTTACCGGGTACAAGGCAGGACTAATAGTGAATCATAAATTAATGAAGATTCGAAGTGATGGCACCCACTATATATAAGCGAAAACGTAATTCTAATCGTGGAAATTGGAATGAAAATGATATGGACGAAGCCCGCAATACCGTACGACTCGAGGACATGCGTGTTCTGACAGCTTCCAAAACATTCGGAGTACCTCGCACCACTCTTCAAAATCTTCAAAGTCTTGAGACTGGTAATTCAAAAAAGATCGGTATGGGAGGGCCTCCCTGGCTGGGGCTAGAGAACAAACGTATTCTTGTGGACAGAATAAAAGAGATGCAACAATGTGGATTTCCTTTAACACGAGATGATGTGAGAACTGCAGCATTCCAACTTCCTAAGGAAATGGGTATTGCCAATAAATTTAACGAAGAGGAAGAAAAAGCTGGATATGGCTGGCTTACCTTATGTTTGCTCCGTTACAAAGAACTGAGTATTCGATTACTAGAGAGCTTATCACTCGCACGAGCACAAGGTTTCAATCGTCGTGAAGTAGAGGATTATTTTGAGTTGGTTCTGGAGAGTCTGTGTGACAATTGATTATGTAATAAGCCAAAAAACATTTGGAATATGGATGAAGCTGGATTGGAAATAAATAATAAGTCTGGGAAGGTTATTATCCAGAAAAGTACACGAAATGTATACTCCACAACGTCAGCTAAGAGAGGAGAACATGTGACACTGGTAGCTTGTTGTAATACACAACGAGAATTCTCGCCACCAATTGTCATCATGAAAGGCAAGAAGAAAAATCAGGATTGGGAAGAAAGTTCACCTCCAGAATCTCACATCTATATGTCTCCAAAATCATCGTACATCAACAGTGAATTGTTCATACGATGGCTGGAACAGACATTTTTCCCAAATTTGACAGGCCCAAAGAATTTGCTGATTCTTGATGGACATGGTTCGCACATGCAGTACGCAGCCCTTGAATTATGTCGTCAGCATGACGTAACAGTGGTATGTTTGCCAAGTCACATGACTCATAAGCTGCAACCCCTGGACGTCTCTTTCTTTGGCACCTTCAAGGCTAAATTCAAAGATGCCTGCAACAAAGGGTTTAAGACCCACCAAGGACAACGACTGACTCGATATCAAATGGGAGGAATCATCAAGAGAGCTTGGGATCAAACAGCTATACCAAGTACAGCATCAGCAGGCTTCAGAGCTACTGGGATATTTCCTTTCAATTCAGATATCATCCCATCGAGTGATTTTACAATTGCTGACAATATGGAATGAGAAGAACCTGTGAGTTCACAACTGCCTTCATCCAGGTAAGGATAAAATAAACGTTTGTTTAATTATGACCTAGATAAATAACATTTTCTTCTCCAATAAATTTTAATGTGACAATTCTCCAATTTTTGTTTTCGATCCAACTTTTGTCTGTTCCTTTTTCTCTTTCCTAAGCTTTTTCCATTCTGAGAGAATTGCCAGAGATATATTCTACGGAGATTTGCGTAGTTACAAACAAATTTCATAAAATTTATCCTTGAAATCATTCCAAGATGACAATTTTTTTCTGCAGGAACCAAGCTACAGCCTCATCAAGCGTTGAAAGTGAGAACATTGACAGTGATATTCGTGATTGGGTAGACTCAACGCATTCTCAAAATCCTCAACGAAATCCTCTGCCTAAACATCGAAAAAAATGAGAAGAATATCAAGACCATCACCAATAACTGTATCTGACCGCTCTTCAGTACGTCTTCCCACAAAGTCCAAGGTCCCTGAGAATTCAAATACAAAATCGTCAGTCCGAAACAAGTACCAAGCTGATAATGACAGCTCTTCAACTGATGAAGAGGTTGATCTCACGGAATTGAGACGAGGTAGAGCATCGTTGGTATCTGGACCTACACAACAGGATATCTCTCGAAAACTTTGCTCTGCTGATGCTTCTAATGATCTTGAAGTTGGTGAGAAAAAAATGAATGCACTCCCTGCACCAATCTCACGAGGAGACGGTCCTTTGAAGAGTTGGAGGCAGAATTCCCTACGTACAACGTTCTCAAGGGCAACTGGCGTTAATGAATTTCTATCAAAATCAATAAAATCGAGCGAAATAAAAGAAGTATCAAAAACATCATCAATACCTGTACCTCAACGTTCTACAGTACGTCTTTTAATAAAGTCTACTGTCCCCGAGTATTACAATGCAAAATCGTCAGTAAGACGCAAGTACCAAGCTGATAAGGACAGCTCTTCAACTGACGAAAAGGTTGATCTCACGAAATTGAGACGAGATCGAGCATCGTTGGTACCTGGGCCTACAAAATCGGATAACTCTCGTAAATCTTGTTCTGCTGATGCTTCGGATGATCGTCAAGTGGGTGAGTAAGAAAGGAATGCAGACTCTGTATCTATCCCACGAGGAGTCGTTCGTTCGGCAAGGTCCACGATGCATTCTATGACTGCAAACTCCTCAATTTTAGCTGACATCGACAAACCTCTGCCAGAGGGAACAAAAGTGAAGAGACTAACCAGAAAATCTCTGACAAGATCTCCACAAAATATTGATGATACAGAAGTTCATTCTAGCAGTTAGTTGAACGATTCTGCGATTCCTAGCAAACGATTCATCAGAGAAACCTACAAACGAGCCACGATACCCACGAGATCCAGGACGGAATTCATCACATCTGCTTCCAAAGTGTCCGATTTCCATGGTGAATGTGCTTCTGCAACTGTGTCTGCAATGAATCAGACATCTCCACGAAATTTCAACTTAAAGGACTAGCAAGACGAAAATTCTTCGACTCAGACTTCTTCCCCTCTCCCTCTCTCCCCCTCTCACCCTCTCCATCTCTCCCTCTCTCTCCCTCTCTCCCTCTCTCTCTATCTCTCTATCTCTCCCTCCCTCTCTCTCCCTCCCTCTCTCTCCCTCTCTCTCTCCCTCTCTCTCTCCCT